CGTGCAAAAAATCAGCATCGCATCTCCTACATGAAAAAATACATATAAACCAAGAGGAAAAAAAACGACAATTTTCCAAAGACAACACAAATAAGATTGTTTTTAAAGTACCTATATTTGATGAAACTATCTCCAAGAAAATAAAAGCTATAATCAAGAAATATGAACTGCCGATTAAAATAATGGATCGGCCAGATCCAACCATCGAAATCCCACTTTCAAAATCTCAGTACACTACCCTACAATGAAATAAGGCCAGCTCTCTTACAAAAACGAATTTGCAGTTTAAATATGGGCGTCTTGTTTCCTTTGTTGTTTACCATCTTACATGTAACATCTGCCATTATGCGTACGTCAGGGAAACCGGAAGAATTCTACCCACAAGGATAGAAGAACATGTTGACTATCTTTATAAACAACAACATGAAAGAAGCGCGGTTGCAGATCATTTTTAACTAATCTTGGACAAATAACACCTGATACGAAACCACCGTTCTCTGTACAAATCCTTATCTTAGCTGCAAAGTGCTTTTACATTAAGTTTTAAGTAGCTCTTCTCATCGAACAATTACGACCACTAATGAATAGGGACAAAGGTTGTTGTCTATAATTATAATTATCTTATTTTTTCTCTTATCTTTTCTTATTCATATCTGTAACTTTGATAGAACTTTTGTTCACACAGGTAGCAGTTAATTATTTCAACTATATAGTTCTTTGAACAATAAACCTTACAACTTTTAAAATATGTGAAACGCACGCTTTAGGAATGCGCGCTATAGATTCGACTAGAATATATTATTTGAACCAATAGTAGCTTTGTACTGTCAATTGCATTTTGTGTTTCAGGGAAAACGTTCCTGAAGAAGCTGTAAAGCGAAACATTTAGTGTCCAGTTATAGAAAAATAACAAATTTAGTACTATAAGGTCGTTTATTACTACTATTAAAATCTGAGTATACAGTTAAAAAAAAATTACAGTTTTACAATTACCAGAAAAAATGTATTATTACACCTTAAGATTAAGTAAGAACTTCTTTTGCATGTATCTTTTATATGAATGAAAATAAGGTCGTTTAAAAGAATTAAGATGCGTTTTGATGCACAAAAATCTAAGATCAAAAATGTTTTTCTACTTTGCTCTTGCAGAAGTATAAACATGTACAAGAGGTGTTTCTAATTTTATATTCAGTTAAAATTAATTTCATGAACAAATAGTTGAAAAGGTTTTTCGTTGTACAAAACTTGAAGACAGCTTTGATGTACGGAAACATCTGTTAGCTGATTTCTTGCACAAATCTTAAAATATAACGTTCATAAATGGAAACATCGGCTCATGCAGATACGTATATCTTGAAAGTCGAATTGTTCAAAACTTGTTTGTGTAGAAATAAAGTTTGAGACTACTTTAAATAGTTGTCGGGACTGGCATGGCCTGGGTTTTAGAGCGCTCGACTCGTAGTGCACGGGTTCAAGCTCCCGCCACCAAACATGCTAGCACTTTCATCTCTGGGGACATTATAATATAGCAGCCAATCCCACTATTCGCTGGTAAGAGAGTGGCCCAAAAATTGGCGGTGGATTGACTAGCTGCCCTCTCTCTCTAGTCTATCACTGATAAATTAGGGGTGGCTAACGCAGATAGCCCTTGAGTAGCTTTGCTGGAAATTTAAGAGAAACCAATTATATACTTATCAGTTATATCTATTTGTCACGCCTACTTTAATCTGTATGCATAAATTGGAGTTAGTCCCCCGATGGCACAGCGGTATGTGTGCGGACTTGCAACGCTAAAAACGGGATTTCGATACCCGTGGTGGGCAGAGCACAGATAGCCCATTGTGTAGCTTAACTTCAAACAAACAATAACAGTTAGATAAATATTTTAATAAACAAAGTTTTATATGCGTTACACAGACGGAAATAATTAACTTCCATGTGACCTTACAACTCATAATGGTTATTGAACAAACGTATTCTAATTTGTTTAACGTTTCAAGCATTAAAAATACTGTAGTCTCATTTTTATTTTTTTTTATTGCAAAGGTATCGCGCAAGTCTAAATTTAAAACTGTGTACTACATTTTTTCTTAATATATACAAAGCTAGTCATATTATAAGAACTTCTGCGTGAAAGTAGAGAAGAGCGCGTAGTAATGCATAAACCACACCATATATGCTATATCCAATACCGAAGAGGTCATTTGCGTAATACCAGAACTCCTTAGTCTGGCTGGGATGTAGATATAGTATTGTTTGAGACGTATTTATATTTAGAAACTGGTTCAACAAGAACTGTTTAGGTGTGAGCTGAATTAAGTTGAAGTATAACTTTTATCAAATTTATTTATTTCGCTACAGATGTTCGCTTAAAGTTGCCAATCTGTAGTTTATATCGTGAGTATATGCAAAAAATAAATTTAATATCTTAGAATTTAATTACATTTTAAAATATTTTAATATATATTAGAGTATATTGATAGTGAAACGTTTCTCCAATAATTAAGAAATGTTATCGAAATCTTTAAAAAATATTCAGAAAACTTCATATGCATTTAATAATGGATCCATTCATTTAACTGTTTCCGAAAAATGAAGATAATTGAAACTTTTAAATCCGTGGACTTTCTTTTCTTCAAACGTTGTAACAGGCAATTTATAAAAAGTGGATATTGAAACTCAACTTTTCAGAATAGTATTGTTTTTACATAAGTTGTTTTTCAAAAACTGATCTTTTCTTACCATAGGCTTACGTTTAACGGTACAAATATGAAGTATTCTAAAAATCTGCAGTTTCTTCTTACATCGGTATAAGTTTTTGATCAAATAACGTTCTTTGCAGTTTTCTCTGATATTATGCAAACTACCAAATAATATTTATAAATTAATATTAATGTTTATCGAATATTTCATTTATGGATCGAAACTCTTGAAGTTAAAGCTGGTACATAAGAAGAACATTTGTAGAACATTCCAGTTATTTCCAAGCACAAAACAGATTGATCATCTCATGTGTCATTTGGGCCCGGTTTTTCCAGGTGGTTAGGGCACTTGTCTCACAATCTGAGAGTCGCGGGATCGAATTCCCGTCCCACCAAACATTCTTGCCCTTTGAGCCGTGGGGGCGTTATAATGTGACGATCAAGAGTAGCCCAAGAGTTGGCAGTGGGCGGTGATGACTAGCTGCCTTTCCTCTACTCTTTCACTGCTAAATTAAGGACTGCTATCGCAGATAGCCCTCGTGTAGCTTTGCGCGGAATTCAAAACCACACAACCATGTGTCATGTGATTGCATAAGCTTTATAAATCCAGAGAAGTAGAGATATCATGGTTAATTTGCAAGACAAAGAGACATGATATTGTTTGCTCGCCTAGCAGGAGTATCCTTAACAAATAATGTACGTTTGATTAAAAGATCGAATCCACCTATTATCAGAATATTCTCTCAGCACCGGGAATCGAAGAAAGGAAATACGACTGGCAATAGGAAAACCTGTGGTTACTGTTGCAAGCTACTGCTGACCGATAGAGGGAAAACACGATTAGACAGTCTGTGTTCATATTGCATGATTGTTTGAAAGGTGATCAAAATTCAAGTCTCTACAGCTATGTCAAATGAAACACGTACAATTAACTATCATATAACAACCGTCAACCAGTCTGAAAATTACTACTTCAGATCAAACAAGAAGAACGGCTTTTGTAATGCTTTCAGTGTAAACTATACTAGCGTTGTTCCTACAGTGCAAATTGCTGGAGGAGATGTGACGGTTTGTTTGTTTGTAATTAAGCACAAAGCTACACAATGGGTTATCTGTGCTCTGCCCACCACGGGTATCGAAACTCGGTTTCTAGTGTTGTAAGTCCGAAGATATAAGTCCGAAAGGCAGATGTGACGGAGTGGGAAATGTTCCCTTGGCGGGATCCTTTCATTATCTTACAAAGGAAAATAATATTGATAACATATCTAATTGTTATTGCCAATCGTATTTGCCTCGATGAAACATCACACCATGATTATATTTCTTTCACTTGATTCGAAACCATGTCAGTGAATTCAGTCATTTTCTTGGACAGCACAATCACAGCGAGAGATAGCCCAATCCGATGTTAGGTAACGATCCTAAATATTTCGAAATCCTTTTTTCGTTTAATATATTGAATACACAAATGTTTTTTCTTCAGATAAAAACCTGTTTAATGCCCAATGATTCATTATGAGGCTTCTTAATAAGCTACGTTTTTTTTTGTAATTACTTATCAATTACAGGCTGTAGTCTACATGAAATTTAAAAGACAAAAGAAATAATATACGAAAACACTTTTTTTTCTGGAGTTTCTTTATGTATGTTTTATTTGTATGTAACATATAAGTATGCTTATACGTTTTCTACCTCCATCTATTAATATAAGAACATTCAAAATGTGTTATTTGTGCAGGCATGTGCTGTCTCTATATATTATGTTGGTCAAGCAGGTTGTTAACTCTCATTTGTTCTAAATACCAATTGTTCTGTGTCATTTACCTAAAGTATCATCTTCAATCTTTCCGTGGCAAAGACAGTTGAACGGTCACTCATAGTGTTTGAAGCTATACAGGTATATCAAACAGGTGACACCTCTTTTATTTCATTTGGGAATGACTAGTTGCGTAAGTAGCTCTAGTTATTCTGGGTAACCCTAAGGTTAATAATTTCAGTAACTAAAGTGAGAGTTACTCAGTCTGGAACATGATCAAGCGAGATAGAGTTTGCAGCTAGAAATTACGGAGTTACAGTATCTACAGAACTAATTCTCCAGTAAACTCTCTGTTGTGAAAAGTTAAATATACATTTTCACCGTGTTTAACTTAAATAAGGAGTGTTCATTTTAATTCTGCACTTGCATTTGATCTTTGTTTATATATCATGACTTCAATAGTCAGAATTATTTTGCAGTATCTTGTGTAAATGACATGAAATTTCATAATTAGGTATGAGAAAACATTATAGAAAACTTACAGTGAACGTTTAGTATCCACCCATCTTCTAAGCCTCTGTTGGTTAGTAAAGGGTTATCAGCTTCACACGATAAGTACCGGCCATTATCTTCTATCTCAGGTATAAACGTTAGCTCACTGATAGTGTAATTTTTCTCTTTTACCATTGTCGCAAAGGACGTGAGCTTTTTTCTGTCTTTCCACCAATGTATGTTTGCTGCTGGTCGCGAACCAAAAGACTGACACGCTATTTGTGTTTTTTCCCTCGCTAAAAGAGGTCGCTGAGGTGATATAATTTTTACTTCAATGGGTCTCACTGAAATACAAAGTGTTATTTACTGTACCATGATTAAGTTATTTAAATTTATTTCATTAGCTTGTCATAGCCTTTGTATTGGTCGACAAAAACAAACATGAGCATTTCATTACAAAGTTAATGTATTATTTTATGTTGTTTATAATCAATAGGCTTTTTATTTTTAATAGAGCAGTCTTAACTTACTTGCACCCAAAATATATTTTACAATAAACGCTCACTCTTAAATACTTATTTTGTTTTCAAAATTTAATTATTTTATTTTTGCTGCATAACTATTTTTATTATTATATTTAATATATTACTTTTGTAAGTTATTTTTTATCATTTAATCTTTCATGTTTTTAGATATTCCAACATTATATATTATTTTTAAAAAAGATTGAGAATCTAAAATGTTAAATCTATATATCACTAAAAATGTAATGTTCTAAAATGTGTATAATTCATATCAGTAATTTAAATGGAAAGTGAATTACAATTCGATTAATTTATTAACTGCGGATGCAATGTTATCTATACTCACAATTCATATCGAGGATAACAGAACTTCGAACAGGGTCTGTATAATTGGTATTTGATGCCTGACAACTCAACTCGGAGAAGATGTCTTCTCTTTTTAAACTTCTAATTACGAATTCGTTACGAACAGTATCATGGTTTACGACTATAAACGTATCATCTAATAATTCTCCATCTCTCCACCACGTCAGTGATGGAATGGGTTTTCCTACAGTCAAATATCAAATAAATAGAATAAATCTGTTTTTAATATGCTGCACATACCATGCATAATAGTTTCACGTGACCTTTGTCAATGTGTAATCTCACAAGTATAAATTTCAATAATTAACTTAAATATATCTAATTAAACCACTTTTTATGTTAAAGATAATATAATTGAATTGGCTACGTACCAGTGTTTCAAATACACATTCATCTTATGTTAAATTAATTTCTTATTACTGTGTTGGTCTGTACAAGATTCCTTCTGTTTTTTGTTAGGCAATTTTAGTCACCTAGGTTGCACCAACGGTAAGAAAATGATTAAAACAAGGTTCAGGATAACAGCAGCTTTATATATATATGTGTGTGTGTGTTTTACCTTTCTCTTATTTCTGGATTAAATTGATTACTTCTTGTAATTCCTTTAGTACCCCCTCGAAGACTCTTTATATTGAACTCCAAAGAAGAAAGAATAATAGGCACTATTGGACCATTCCAGGAAGGTGATGCATTATCTCTCCAGTGTGTAGCTCAAGGCGGTAAGCTGTGATATACTCACTTACGCTCACACATACACACACACAGAAACATTTAAACATTGCGTGCAATAGTAAGCTCTATGTTTAAATGGTATTATCAATATTAAAATTCATACACGTTTTTATCGGTTGTATATAGTAAAAGTTTTGTTTATTATATTCACAACGTTTTACCAGGTATTATAAGGTAAGATGCAGGAAATGAAGCAACAGTTATTCTAAAAACCGAAAATACAGTCATGTCTATGAAGACCCTTATCAACTCCTTACGCATCTTAGTAAATTTTAGTTCACCATATACAAAGACATATAATTTTATGTTCTTATTTTTAAGTCTATAAAAACTAAGCATTTACCATTCAGACAAGTGTGGTTAGTTAGTAAGTGTGCTATTATTACATTAAGGCTACATGCGATCTAGTTTTTGAATATTGAAGTAACTTTGCTAGTATTTCTGAAATTTCAAATGATGAAATGCGTGAACACAACGAGTTTCTTATTTTTGTCTGCATTTTCTTTTCTTAAAAATTAACCACATAATGTTGCTAAACATTGAATTCTGGGTGCTCTATGTGTACTTATAATAACTATAAATTACTTGTTATTCTTTATTTACATTCGTTGATACATTATCAATCAATGATTAACATAAACAGCTTAAGTTTATTTGTACGATGTGCTCCAGTTATTAAAGGTAATATTAAAATACTGAAGATAAATATATAACTAATTAATCCTCTTTACTGAAATTTTGCATAATAATATTGATTTAATGTTCAAATACCAGACGTACTTTTTCAACTATCGGCAAATTCATTCAAATTTAAACCCTGTTGCAAACATGGTTTCTTAGAATACTGTTCTCAATAAAGAATGCATCTGTCGTACTGGTTACTTCACATAAATCATCTAAATTATTTTAACTTTATCTTAATCACCAGTTTGATCAATAACGACGAGAGTCTTATTGTATTTGAATGTATAATTGGAGTCAAATGGAATATTAATGACAAATTTGTAATATAACTGTAATAAATTTGTAAACTTAAACAGTTTTTCTCTGCCACACACTGAGACAGCTACATTTTCACCGTGAGGTTTATTTTTTAAAATATATATTTATGTGTTTTTTAGTATTCACCTAAAAGCGACTCAAAATGTCTTTAAACTGAGCTAATGCAGAAGTACGTAGAAGCTAAACTTACATAACGCGAAATGTTATAGATATATACATAGAACTAAAGTAGCAAACATTTAATATATCTAAACATTAACCGATAAATAAGGTAGATCAACTAACTGAAACAATTCTCTGTAATAAATCAAATAAACAAATCTGCAATCTAATCACTGCTGCAGTACTTGATCACTGATAGCTGTGATAAAATATCTTTAGAGATGAGCTATTTAAACTGCCTTAGATCAGTTTTAATCTATGATGCTTAATGCGAAGGTAAACCTATCTATGTGATTTGTCGTTTGCTATAAATGGATGTTGTATTGGTCCTTCGTGAAAATTACGCCAATTTGCAGCTATTTTTCTCAATGATAATTTCAATATTTTATGGGATTTTTTAGCGCTATAATACACAGACATGCCGCTGAGCTACTTGAGGGGGGTGGGCGCAGAGTTTTAATACTTTTAGTTGGCCCAGCAAAGACAACCCATTATGTATTTTTGTGCTTAACTACAAATAAACAAAGCTTCTACATGCAAGTCCGCCATTGGATATGAACAAGTGACTGCCATCAGTAAAATTAAGCCTAACTTAGCCTTTCTGTTATCAGTTGTTCCAAGCATGTTCTATCAAGCAAATTAAAAGCTAATGACAGATACTGTCTCGTTCACTCTACGCTGATCTTGCTTTCTCAAATTTGAATATTTCTTTACAAAGTACATATAGAGTTGATTAGTGAATAAACTATTTCTTTTAATTGATCACGACACTAAATATCAAAGAAACAATATACAATATGGAGATCAAATTGACTCAATAAATTAATTGTGAGATTTACGTTCAACTTAGTACTATTATTAACTCCAAATTAAAACAAGTTAACAACCTAGGCCAAAACAAAACAGTAGGCATTGTCATTAGCCAAAAACTTACAATGTTTAGATTCCATTGATTCGTTAATTAGATACCCTCGCTGTAAGCGATACGTTCGGATTAAATCCCATTAGTATCTGACAAGGTTCGGCCTGCTGATAGGATTTAGATTACTGCTCTTAAGCAATGTACACTAAACTTATGGAAACTAATCAGAGGTAGTAAAGTAGTATGTTTAATTTATATAGGAGAATAATATACTTGTTTCTACATTAGCGGGATTCGAACACAAATTTCACAGATCCACAATCCGCAGCGAGCTATTGTGACTTGTTGGGTCGCGTGAAAATGCGTATCATTTTGAACATGTAATAGAGTTTTGCTGCTTTTGAAATCCAAAAATAATAATAGATTGACTTGCCCATCACAAAATCCTACCTTCTCTGTTTATTTAAAAATTACAAATTGGAACTTGTCTTTTAAGAACTTTTTTAAAGTAAAAATTCAGTTTTATAATATAAGTAATTATACCGTAACCACTAATCATAGTGTATAAGTTCAGCGGTATAAATATACATATGCCTTAATGTTAGAAAGCGTCTTTTAGCTGATATCTAAAGCATTGAAACAATATTCTGTACTATAAGAAAGTTATTTCAAGTATAGCTACAATAATAAATTTTTATTACCTTTTAGTGGAGTGAATAATCAACGTTTAAGAATGATAATTCATGGAAAATACCAAGTATAAATACCACATTGACTTCATTTAGTTTTTATTATCAAACGTTTGTTTGTTTATTTGTTTTATATTCCGCGAAAAGCTACACGAGGGCTATCTGCGCTAGCCATCACTAACTTAGCAGTGAAATACTAGAAAGAAGGCAGTTAATCATCACCACTCACCGCCAACTTTTTAGGCTACTCTTTTACCAAAGAATAGTGGGATTGACCTTCACATTATAACGTCTCCATGGCTGAACGGACGAGCATGTTTGATGGGACGGGGACTCAAACCATCGACCGGCAAATTGCGAGTCGAGAGCCCTCACCACCTGGTCATGCCAGGCCATTATCAAACGTATACCTAACCACTTCCAATGCCTAACAAAATATTTTAGATTAGTTCTTGTTCAATCTGGTTTAAACCTTTAGTTTATTTTAAGGCTAACATTTTAAAAAAGAAGGAAAAACGATATTGTGATACTGACATTGTGACTATCAGCATACGTTTTAAATTATGTGAAAATGATTAAAGTGTTTAAGTCAGCTGAATTAAGGACAGTTTTCACAATGAAACTAATATGCACTCGACGAGTTTATCATCTTTTTTTTTTTAAATTATGTCATGCTGATTTAAGTTATGCTATTTTATCAGTGTCCCAGTACCAAATTATGAAAATGTTTATTGTTATTAGCAAATGGACAAAAACGCAGTATTGCATTACATTTAGCTGATCTAATTAAAATCATCCACTCTAATAAAAGAAGAACGTGTGAGAATATGAGCATATGTATACATATACACATTGAACTTTACTTTCAATTGAATATAACCTAAAACTCTAAACAAGAAATTTATATTCAAAAAAGTTTCCAATGAACGCGTTTGAAGAACCTATATAGGTTGTTTTTTTTGACAAATATAATTCTTTATATATTTCTGGATAATCTAAGAACTCAGGTTACAAATTATTTGATTCGTGAGATTTTTGTAAATTGTAGAAAGTTTTGGTGCCAACCTTTATCAATACCATGGGGTAGTTAATAAAACCATTATAAATGACAAAACGCAGAAGAAAAAATGCAACTAAAAGTGAGATTTTAAAATTTCTTGCTTTTAGTTGTGGAAAAATATGTATGTATTTTGGGCCAATAATTCACATTTAAGCGTAAAATTAAATAACAATACTGGTTTTAGCTAAACTACCATAATAAAATTATGATACGGTATACTTAAACCTGCTCTGCATAATATGACCTGAACATACAAACCATACAGTTGACACATTAGCTGTGGTCTGGTGGAATTAAGCAGGGTCAGGATGTTCAGCGAGTAAAAAAAAACAGAATCAAAGACATCATAAGGCCGTCATAACTATTCTCAGCAGCAGTGTGGTGATACACGCATGATTTTGAGACAGGAATACACATGGGAAGATGTAGAATCAAGTTTTTAATGTTGAAGTCTACACCATGTATCATATCGAGGAAAAGTTTCACGTTTCAGTATGAGCTGTGTGGAATCTAACAAGTCAATGGAGAACATCCAAACTCTTCAAATTCGTGTTTAGCAGCTG